AGCCCGTTTCATTGCTAGTTAGATTAATGGTGTATTTAGAGTAAAGAAGATAGTTAAAATCTTAATCTAGCAACTTGGAAATTCTTGGAAAAGAAACAGAGGAGCTGCTGAAAATCAGATAACTATAGTCATCATCTTTGCCAGGAAAAAATATAAAAATAATTCTCATGCATCTGTGATTACAGGTTCTTGAGAAGATCATAAACGGTGTACAAGATTTTGGATTTCAGTGCAAAGGTTGGATTGATTCTCCATTGAAGGGAGCTGATGGAAACAAAGAGTTTTTAGCGTACTTCGGCCGAACAGCGGAAAGACCAGAAGACACCTCACCCGCTAAGGCTGATATTAGTAACTTGCACAGGGGTTGTCGACAAGATATGGAACTGCCAAAATAAAAATGTTGTACAAACAGGATCCTTTTGCCAAAATTGAAGAAACCTTGTCATTTTGATACAGTAGAATATATCATAGCGTTTGCATTTGTTTTGCCTAGAATTTTAAAATAACGGGAAAATTTTGAGATTATAAAGTATGTAAAAAGGTTTCAATTGGAGTTGTTTTTAATATAATTATTCTTTGAATACTTGCCTGAGATGAGTTTCTATCCTTGCAAGCTATTGGTGACAATCAATTGTTTGTATGTAGTTAAGATTTGGTACATATGATTAGCAAATGAAAAGGGGAAGGAGAAAAGCATCAAGAACCTGTACTATGGTGTATGACAAAGGAAATTCTACTAGGGGTGTAAGACGGGATTGGTCGCCCAAGCCCAACACAGGCAAACTCATCATCTATAAACGAGATTAAGGGTCCATTTGAAAAATCAAAGTTACTTTTAAAATTCAGAAATTGTTTTTGAGCATGTATAGATAATTTTTTGGAAGATCGTTTAGAAAAAATTGATCTTAAGTAACGTTCTCTATAAGTTTTTCTACTAGAAGCAAAAACATAAGTCCTGTCAAACGGATCTTGAGTGCCGGTTGAGTTAATGTATTCATTCGACTCTCAAATAATGAATAAACCTTTGTACTCAAATTTGAGAGAAAATCAAAAGTTTGGACTGAATCAAACTTGGTTAGGTTGCCCTTAGCCAAGCCTTCTTATTTATAGATCTTCACCGATGTCAGGGAGACGTTTCCCCTCCCCTCATCAAAAACGACTTCCAATTAAAAATTAATAAATAAAGAGTATTGTCTCCTATTTTATCTTAAGAGTAATGATATTTGCAGTCGTTATTGTCACATGTATGTCACGTATGCATCAAATCACTACTACGATAGTGAGCGATTACAAATAGCATTATTCTTATTTTAATGGTTCATGTTCATCACATGGGGCATATTTGCTATCCACATCGATAATCTGCCTCATGAGAGGCTTGATTGACATATTTAGGTTAAGTTCCCAAAACTCAACCTATAATCACATCAAGTGAAATGCTAGAAAACATCTCCCTGGACCAATAAATAGATAAATATGGATGAGGTGTTAACAGTAACCAATTGTATATCCATGTGAAAAAAAAGAAGAAGAAGCTCTCAAAATTTTGCCATTCAGCATAACACAATTCTCCTTCTTGATGTTGTTGAAACTTGTGGAGGAGAAAAGGTCATTGCTAATGTTGTCCTGTTGCTGTACTCCTCCATTTGTATCGAGTTCTTATTGACAATTTTACCTTCTTCTTCGGATAGATAGAGACAGATGGAGGGAGGATGGTTTCTTGTATCTCCTGCAAATAAGCAAAGCGAACCCGTAAATAAACTATAGTCACATGATGAAGATTGTTCAAACTTGATTACACGATAGATAGAATTTCTTAACTGGTAAATTATAATCAAAAATCTAGACAAGCTACGGATGCAGTAGTGGTTGGTGCTCTATTACAAATGAGATGCAACTTTTAGAACATTGTGATCGCCAGTCATATATAATGTATAGAAAATTGTATATTATGATAAAGAAGAAATAATGCAGGGCACCACCCGTTGGATTTTGTTCAAATTAACAACGAGGATTGATTGTGGAAGTGATGGAAATTGTAACAAAACGAGAATAAGAAAGGGTGAAGGCCGAAAAATGGCCTGGGCGGCCGCCCAACCTTGTGTTGCAATTACAGTGGCCATTTTGTTGAACTAAGCGGGTGCCCGGTTTAGTATTGGGAGGTCGTCCAGTACAAAAATTTACCCTTTGGGGTTCTGAATCTGGTGTCATTTTGAAGGGTTTCACGCCATTTTGGCTTGATTTTTGCTCATTTTTCATGCATGGTAATTGTAATTCTATATATATGAGTAATTTTCATGATTTCACATATCACAAACATCAAATTCATTCACCAACATCCAAAATTATAGATTAAATCTAATTTTATGTATTGTTCATCCAAATTCCTTTTTCAAGTTTTGTTTGTTTGATTCAAACTTGGATTACGTTTGTTTCATCAAAATTCCTTTTTCATTTGTTTGATTCAAACTTGGATTAAGTTTGTTTACTCTTGCAAACTATTTGTCATTGAAGCCTTCAAGCATTTATCCCTATGACAATAATTCATAATCGTGTTCAAACCTTCCATGTTGACGAATTTCTTGTTGCTAGTTTTTCTTGTTCTTCATCCACTGTTCTCAACACCTGCACCCGCAACAACATTTTTCATCACTTCCCTATTTGTTAACTAAGTATTATTCTCTCCTTAAATGTCGTATTTCTACTTACTCTGAATCACCCATAATATGCACAAAGGGCTATTTCTGTGCTCAATGGATACTTGGCTCTGTCTAATCTTAGTTCAATCTTACTCGTACAAGTTTTGTGTTTATACTCTGTCAGATGTAAACATCTCATCGTGTTAAATGTTCATGTAAAGAATACCTAACAAAGTGAATAAGTGGGGACTTTATCCTTTTCTCTTGTAATTATCTGCAAAAAGAAAGACGAATTTAAGTTTCAAAAAATTTCACGATAAACCAGAATGTCAATTGATAGTCTCAACACAAATGAACAGAAGATAATCAATCTTTAGAAGAGGATGCAAAGGGACAGTCGGGACTATATGGTCATACTAAAAATCACAAATGTGCAATGAAGTTCGGAGGATGCAAATCATAAGGAATCGTTACATGCCTCATGATACTTCCTAGAAAATCATTTATTCCTATGAACTTCAATAGAAAAATATGCCTACATATTAACCATCACTGAATTATGAAAGTCAGCAAATGATCAAGCATTTTCTTTCACCAACAATTTTATGTTAATTTTACATCAATGAAGAAAAGGACTGCCACCCTCTCTTGCCTCTAATCCCTCTCCGAATTGCATAAACCTGAAGAATTGGTGATGTACATCACCCTTTCTCAATAAAAATATGACTCCATTTTTATCTGCAAATTTCAAGATATCCGCATGTATTACACATCTATCCATCCATTCTTCATTTTTACCTATTTATAGTTTAAACTGTTTATAAACATTTTCCGCACATTTGTTTTAATATCAATTTCTTATTTTCTCGGCTTGCTTTTTTATTTGAATTGGACCAGTAGTATACGAATCCACGAGAATGGATTTCTAATCGATTGATGCATCCAATCAGTCGCGTCACGCATGACCAACAACTTCCTTAACTACTTCTCAATCCCGCCTTTTTTTTTCTTTCTCCTACCGAAGATTTTTGATGCAGATCTTCCTCGGTAGCAAGAAGATTTAGATCGAGGATATTTGGTTTAGTGTACTTCAATGGATTAATTTTCACCTTTCAGTGACGTAAAATATGGAAGTCTGAGCGATTTTGAACGTAATATCTACTTGTTAGCCATCTTCATTCCATGACTTTCATATGCTAGTAAGTGTCAAACACGCATACTACTAATGACATTTTTCTTGGATAAAACATAAACACGCGTACTACAAGTCACATTTTTCCAGAATAAAACATAGATATTTTAAATAGGTAGAAAAAGTGGCAGAAAACACCATGAAACTTCAAATCAAGATGCCCTATGCAATCCCATCTCAAATGGGGCTGGGATTCACACCTCGCCGAGAAATTGGTTCTTGAACTGAAGACAATTAGAACTCAATCCCACCCTATTACCATCCCTTGTCCAGTTATAAATCAAGAGAAAATTTGTATTGGAACACTCAAATAATTTTTGAATAATAGCATTTATCTTCTTACATGTGAAATCCACAAAATGAGTTTTAAAAATCCTGTAAAAGATTAGGATTGTTTAATATAATTTATACATTCTGAGCAACAAAACAATGATAAGAGTAGGAAGCAAAAGAAAGTAACCAACAAAAGAAAAAATGGAAAAAGCTGTACACTTGACTAAATAAGCAATTTACCTGATAGTATTATGCTGAAACCATCAATCTTAAATTTATGAATGTGTAATCTAATGGCAAGTATAAATTATTGAAAAACCAATAACGAGAACAGATAATTTACACGTTGGATTATGGATAGACTCACCACTATATCTTGGTTAACTTTTCTTTAATAGATCTCCTATACATCTCGAGCAACGATGAGTTCTTCTAGTTGATCGGCATTGCCATTATCCGATAACGCCAAAACGTCGTCTTCTGTGGTGAAGTCATAACGCTGTCCAATAGCTCTCAAAAGCTGGTACACTTCAAACATGGTAGGCCTCTCTTTAGGAGCCGGCAACACACAGCTACAAGCAACCTTAAGAAACTGGAAAAGCTCGCTATCATAACCTTTCCCGGCCAATGACACATCAATTGCTTCCTGAAGTTTTGAGGTACTGGAGAGTTGGGAAACCCACTCAACTAGATTCCCCTTAAAGCTTTCGGGTGCTTTTGCCACATAAATCGGTTTCTCGCCGGTTACTAACTCGAGAAGAACGACCCCAAAGCTATAGACATCCCCCTTCGGAGTGGCAACCAGTGTTCTTGTATATTCCGGAGCAACATAACCCAGGTCCCCAAATTCACCATTTATAAAAGTACTCAAATGAGTGTCAACGGGATTCATGAGCCTAGCAAGTCCAAAATCAGAAATTTTCGGCTCGTAATTCACATCCAGGAAGATGCATTTGGAACTTATATTTCGGTGAATAATACGGGGATTGCAACTGTGGTGCATCCATGCAAATCCTTTTGCTGCTCTTATCCCAATTTTAAGCCTTAATGGCCAGTCCATAGGTTTCTTGCCATCATTCACAACATGCAACTTATCATGTAGGGTACCGTTTGACATGTGCTTATAGACTAAGAGTCTTTCCTTCTTAGTCATGCAAAAGCCAAGAAGCGGAACCAAATTTCGATGCTTTACATTTCCTACAGTAGCCATCTCAGACACAAATTCTTTCTCCGATTGTTGAGTATCCTGCAATCTCTTCACCATAAGAGAGGTGCCATCTCCTAGTACTGCCTTGTACATTGTCCCTGTTCTTCCTGACCCGATTATATTCTCTTTGCTGAAGTCATTGGTAGCCTTCATGAGATCACTTAGTTTCATTTTGGAAACCGACTTCTCAAACATCGAAAGCTGAAACAAGAAGATACGACTATTTGTGATTCGTTCCTTGTATGGAAAAAAATAATCAAACGAACAAAAAAAAGGAACGAAAAATCTTTTAAGCAGGCAGTATAAAATAATATAGCTAATAGTTATTATATGTATAAGCAGAAATTACAAGAAAATATAGGTCTATCTTGCCTTGATGCCTTTGGAACCCTTCATGCTCTTTGCCCATTTGTTGCCTAGAGGATCGCCTTCCTTCTTCTTTCTAGCCACCTTGCGCATATAGAAGAACATGCCAATTAAGACACCCAAAGCGGCAAGAGTCAACCCACCAACAGCTGCCCCAACAATTGGTCCAATGCTGGTTTTCTTGGAAGCGCCTTGGCAAGTCGGCAACAGATCGCCGCAAAGTCCTGCATTATTCGCATAGCTCTTTGTAACATTTTTTGAGAATCCTGGAACTGGCCCAGTCAATCGGTTGTTTGAAACACTAAATTCCTTGATTCTGCTAAGTTGAGCAAGCTGTGCAGGGACATGACCTGTTAACTGGTTGTTGTCAAGTTTGAGGACATTCAGGTAAGAGCAATTGGAAAGATCTACAGGAATCTCTCCAGATAACTCGTTGTTGGAAAGATCAAGGCTCGTCAGAAATCCAACTATATGAGAGATGTTATTTGGAATATTTCCATGGATTTTGTTACTAGAAAGATCTAACCCTGTCATGGACGAACAACCAACAACACCTAGTGGAAACGTGCCCTTAAGTTCCATGTTCCCCAGCTTGATATTCAAGACCTTATTTTCATCAGGATGCCAACATTCAATCCCAATAAATGAACAGATGAAACCTTGAGTTTTGTTATCGAAATTCCATGTTGTTAAGTAACCGATTGGGTCTTCCAAAGAAGATTTTACAGCTCTGAGGCAGTCAACGTCACTCTGAGCAGCATAGCTGAAAGATCCACTGAAGAGTAACCAGATAGAGGTAGCAAGAACAGGGAGGGCTCTAAAATTGAAGACCATCCTTGTGAAGACAGCATCCATAATCCCAGATAAAACAAATATGTCAACAAACTTAAGGTGTCGCATGGAAATATTATAATAGTCACCGAGAGGCACGCCTCATAAGTTTGGTTGCTGAACAATTTCAACATCAACAAAACCAAATTTCAGAACTATGATTAAACATTCGAAAAACTGTTAAGTGGAGTAAAAACAATATTTAGGGGGTGAATGTAAAGTACTAACAGGGATTATTCCGAACAGTGCAGTGATTATTTCAAATGATAGACAATCAATTGCAAAACCACTTCATCTACGACCATTGTACCACTAAGAGACAGAAATATCCGATGTCTCCAACACTAGGATGGAAAATAGTGCAGACGAGAAAAGGCAAGTTTAAGGTGAAAAAAATTTACAAGTTGATGATAATTTCTTTCTTATCTATATCAACGCTTGATTTTGCAAGTTCGAAATCGAGAAAGAAATCCAACGAAATTAATACGGTGAATAAACAGTATTTCATTAGATAAAGAGAACACATAAGAATTCAATTGAATTTTAGTCAATTAAAAAGTACAGCAGCTTCCACTTCCAACAACATAAAAAACCTAATTAGGAGGAAAGAAAAAAGTGTGAATAGTGATGAATGAATGCTTAACTCGGAGTTAACTACTTCCTTTTATTAAAATCGTGAAATCAGAATAGCAAGAACAAAAACCCATTTGAGTTAACTCAATTATACACCCCTGAAATCAGAAATTCAAGCGATCCAATAATTGAATGAAGAAAAATCAAAGAAATCCACCTCACATATCAGGATCATATCTTTCATGCCAACTGAAGGAAAATCAGAAAGAAAATCCCTCAACTCTTTGTTCGAAACATTCAAACCCACCAACAGATATGTGCTTACAACTACATATAACCGTACAAGAAGAAAAAAATCTGCTTAAATAGAGATAGATAAGTAGATAGTTACTGGGGGTATTCGCAAGTTTCTTCGATCTTGATGTTGAACGGAGACTTGAAGGTGGACTGGAATTATAAGAACAATAATCACTATCTATTTCATCATTTTGTTACTGTTGAGTGCCTGGTCAAAGAAGGGATGCAATTTTCCACCATCTGTTTTTCTTGGTTTCTTCTACTTTTCATTTTCCTTTTCCCACTGAGGTAAACGGACAAGAAAAGGAGATTTTTGAGGGACCGTGGTTTGACCATTTCGCCATTGGTTTTGGCCTTCTCACCATTGCCACAAATTAATGGCCAACTTTTCTTCAATTGTTTAGACTAAAATAAGTTACCAATTTGAATATCACTCTTGCTCCGTGTACATTCGGGGTTGGAACTCAAAATGTACAAACAGCAAAACCCTCAGCCCACACATAATGTTCGACTAGAATGTCTCAATTTGAGCTAGGTAAATATCGATTTGAGCCAATTTTCAAAGAAAACGATCAATAGGATACTTAAATTAATTACACAAGGAAATCAATATAGTATAATTGTATTAACGTTGTACAATATACATAAGTCAATCAATGAATGCACCTAACTTGACCAATTTGGCATTCAAGCAATAGGAGATAACTTGACATAAATGTATTTATATCACCGCACAATATTTCAGTAATAATATCATAAATGTGGTTGAAACGTCTTTGACACGCTAGACAATGTACTGTCCACTAAAGAATTAAAGAGACATGACAACTATTTTAGAAAAATTGGTTCCAACTTTCTATTTGTAAATATTTTAATGTCATTCACTCCATATAAGAGAGATTGTTCATTAAACTTACTAAAATTACTGACGAAAACTAGTATTCTTGAAGCAAAGTCATACACATTGGTTAATTAGAGTATTGGTAATATATGTCGGTGATTCATACGAAAATAATGACAGTAATATTACTGGAGATAACTTAAAACAATTTTGTCAACGATTGATGATGGCAATGATGCTAGTGCTATTGTCGAGAATAATTGACGACTGAGTTTGAATTTTTGTTATACTTACAAATTATTTTTGAAAGTCTCACTCTGACCAACTTCCAAATCAGCATCCTAAACTCTCTGCATATTTAACAAAATTAACCCTAAAAAGGCTAAAAAATATATAATTTTTATTAGCTTTAATAAACTATTTTTCAAGTACAGTCACGAGAATTGTGCGCGTGCGAATTGTGGAGGAAAAATAAAATAAAATAAAATAAAAAGCTCCCTCCAAAGTTGAGAATCTACAGTTCTTTCAAGCACTGTTCTGTACAATTCCTATGTCGCAGCTAATTTCCCACTATTTTTACTGCTTCATTCATCCGAAATCTTAAGCACAAATATATTACTTATAGAACCCATTTTTATTCTGCTAAAGAAAACCCCATATCAAGAATTGCTCAGAAATCCATGGATTCTGATTCTGTTCCTTCCAGCCCAATTCCTATTGTTTCCACTTTCAGTTCCCCATTTGAGGGTTCTCCAAAGGGGAATGGTTCAACAAGAAAACCCCTTAGTTTGTGGCCAGGAATGTACCATTCGCCTGTGACAAATGCTTTGTGGGAGACAAGGTCAAAAACATTTGAGAGACTTCTTGATGCCCCGCTTGACGCACCTCCACAAAGTGAATTGTTGACAAAAACTCCATCTCAGAGTAAGATGACTATTCTGTATAATTTTTCGACTGACTATATTCTGAGAGAGCAGTATAGGGATCCTTGGAATGAGGTCAGAATTGGGAAGTTGCTTGAAGATCTTGATGCTCTTGCTGGAACTATTTCAGTCAAGGTACAATCTTTTCGTGGTTAAAATTTGGATGTTGTCTTTAATTCTTAATCTTGGACATGATTCAATATCTGTGTGTGCGTGTGAGGGCTTTTTTTTTTTATTATTTACATCTCCAACATTATGGATTTCTTGTTGTCGCTGATGTTGACTTGTCCTAAAGGTTAAAGCTGTTGTTTAGCTACATATTATTTATTTAAATTTGGTCTTCGATACACGAGTTGGCCTGCAAGCCAGTTTCAATTTTTACCAACGGCATCGAATGGAGCAAAACATGATTTCATAGACCTTTGCGTGCTTGAAAATGTGTTGAACAAGTACATACTGGGACGTGTTTATTTATTTAAATTTAGTCTTCAACAGCCTGTATTTGAGATAATTCCAGGTCCTGCTATGACATTGTTGCTCTTTGTGTTCAACGAGCAATGTTATATCTGATAAATGCCTGAAAACAAACGTATAATATTGTGTTTTGTTAGTCTTCATTCATTCAAATAAAGATGTTCAGATGATTCATGCAAGCACTATAAAAGGTATTAGTTATGTTATGGTTGTAGGATTCGAGATATTATTCAAAATGTTATTTCCTTTATATAATCTTCATTTTCTTGTGTATTAGCATTGTTCCGATGTTGATAGCGCAACTAGACCACTCTATTTGGTAACTGCTTCTGTTGACAAAATGGTGCTGAAGAAGCCCATCAGTGTTGATATTGATCTGAAGATAGTTGGTGCTGTAATTTGGGTTGGCCGATCTTCTATTGAAATTCAACTGGAAGTCACTCAGCCACCAATTGGTATTTTCTTCAGAACTAATTGTCTTTTTTCACTATAAGAAATTGATGAACTTAAAACTCAACTCAAAGATTTTTCATGATTAGTCTTGTATATACATTTTAATTTTTTATGATTTTTTTTAATATCATTATAATGTTGTTTTCTCGATGACTTATAAAATGTCTTGCTCTTCCATTCGAACTCCATGTCATTGATGGTCTTCATCCAACTATATTTTCCCAATGTATTTCTTTAATTTCTATACACCGGTAACGCTTTCTTTGCTATTCAAACTTGTTCTAGATCTTAAGCTGAAAACTCAATACTAGTAATTTTTAATCAGTTTTGGCTTCGTATTTGCCTTGTATATCATCCAGCAATCCTCGATCTCTCCACGTGTTATCTAGCTAACTGGTCTGTCTCGTGCACAATTTTTACCAGTCTTTAAATTACACTACAAGTTGGTTAGAAACTAGTTAACATGTCGTAAAACATAAGACTGCTAGTCACTATTGTCTTGCATGCATTAACCAAGGAAGACTTGCCCCCACAGAGATAACTGATGGATCAGAATCAGTTGCTCTGACTGCCAACTTCATTTATGTAGCTCGTGACTACAAGACAGGGAAAGCTGCTCCGGTAAATCGACTGAGTCCAGAAACAGATCGGGAAAAAATGCTCTATGAAGCATCAGAAACAAGAAATAAACTAAGGAAAAGGAAGTTCAAAGAAGACAGAAAGGAAATTGAGAATGGAGAGATGGATAGATTTGCAGCATTACTGTCTGAGGGACGGATCTTCTGTGACATGCCAGCATTGGCCAATAGACACAGCGTTCTCCTCAGAAATACCCGCCTCGAGAACTCTTTAATTTGTCAGCCACAGCAAAGGAACATTCATGGTCGGATCTTTGGAGGATTTCTAATGCACCGAGCATTTGAATTAGCTTTTTCAACAGCTTATGCTTTTGCCAGCATAATGCCAAGCTTTCTAGAAGTTGATCACGTTGATTTTCTGAAACCAGTGAGTACCTCATTGGAAACTTCTCTTCTCTGTTTCCTTATGTCAACTTGATTTAGTGATGTGTCGTAGTATTGATTTTTAACTTAATCTATAACAAGAATAGGAGTTAAATACAGATTAGTTTTGGCATCCTTTTATATGTCACTATCAATTCAAGTCCCTCATTAGACACCACAGAGAGCACTATCTGCTACCTGTTTGGCTCAACTAAAAGCTGCTGCAATTGTATGTAAATGTTAGCTGTTGTGGGCCACTCTTCCTCAATTCCTTTCAGAAAGAATTTAATCGAGTGATATTTACAAATTTTCTCATCATATTTTCTTATTTGCTCAGTGTGGTGCAATTTACCAGCTGTGCTCTAAAATTGTTAGTTTATTGCAAATGAGCATTAGCTGTCTGTACGAGATCAATAATTTTCTACAGATATAAAGCTGTGTTCCCTAGCATCACATCAATTGCTAAACAGCCTGCCTTTTGTTGGTGTCGCAGGTGGATGTCGGAGATTTCTTGCGTTTCAAATCGTGTGTGTTGTACACAGAATCTGAGAACTCAGATCAGCCTCTAATTCACATAGAAGTTGTTGCACATGTTACAAGGCCAGAACTCAGGTCTAGTGAGGTATGCTCATCTTTACCACACGTCATACAATTTGTTAGCAAACAGAGTAAGCATGCATGTGTGAGGCAAGCAAAATGATGAGTGCACGGTCCCACCTGTACATATGGCACATTAAAAGGCATGTTTTTTATGTTTGAAGTTTAATTTTTTTTATATTTAAATACACAGAGCATGCCCAAATGGAAGCATCTTTTTTCTGTAGATTAGTAGTGGACTGTATGGGTTTAATAAACAAACGTGTTCACTTCTCTTCCCTATTACGAGTCTATGACTTTTGGGTGCCTCAATCCTCATCGTCCGGGTCTAAAACTTGGATTTTCCCCTTCAAATAAAATTTGTACCCCTTTTATGTTTGCATAATATAACATCTGCAAGCCAGCTATGAAGTCCAAGGTATGAAAGTTCTTGATTGGCTTGATGTAATGCCTGAGAAGGGATCGTATTTGTCACTCTTCTCAGTCCAGTTAATACTGGTGCATAATTAATATTTGTTCCGTGTGCAATTAAATAAGAACTAATCTGTTCATCTATATCAAACTTCTTTTGGAAATATTGCTGATTTCAAAACTGGCATCGGTAACAAACAGAATTGATCCCTCAAAAGACTTTTGCTGCTGATAATCAAGGGGACTGTTGAAAGAGGCTGTTATGCCCGATCTGAGGCATTTGGAGTGAGGTTAATACGAGAGAGAGTGAAATTGTTGTATGAAAAGATAGACATCATTTAGTTGCTCGGAAAAAGGTGAAACTCGCCTAAATAGGAGATTTGAGTGCGAGGGGTTCTATGCTCTTTAGCATGGCAATTATGGGATGCTGGTCACCACAGCAAAACTAGATGCAAGGGTGGAAAATGAAGGAAAAAATTGCATCAGCTTCCTTACAGGCTACGGCGTTGGTTTGTAGAGGGGCATTGCGAATATTTCACGTGAATTTCTAAATATCTTGGTTTTAAGATGGGAAATAGGATTAAGGTGAAGTTCTTAGGTGATATTTCGTGTCATAAGGTTAAAGGAACGTTTTGTGCAGCCTCTTGACATTGCCGTACGTGAAACTTTGCATCCTTCTATTAGCCTTCATGGATAAACTGGACAGCGTAAATACAAACTGTAAATGAAGATTAGCCAACTGAAGGCAACCTCTATAATGTTGTTTAGACATTTTCTGAAGTTCAATTTCCTTTTAACCGAGACTATTAAGCAATATGAAAGTATTTATATTTGTTGCAGGTGTCGAACAGATTTTACTTCACATTCACAGTTCGTCCCGAGGCAAAGGCTATGGACGATGGATTTAGGATCAGGAAGGTTGTTCCAGTGACAGAGGAGGAAGCACGCACGATTTTGGGGCGCATGGAAGCTGATTCCCTATAATCACTTGCGTACGATGTGAAACAAACACCATTTCGCATTCGACTACATTCTGGTGAAAAAAGTAGTAGGGGCTATAGAATGGACAAAGTTATTATTCATAATAATTCTATTTGGAGTTTGAATCTTTGAGAAATTCTCTCAATTTTTTTGTGAAAATAGTATTAATATGAATATGAGCTTCAAAGTTAAGAAGAATAGCATATGTTCTTTCGGTTTGAGCATGTTTGGCTAAGCTTTTAATGTTGTTGTATCAGATTACTTACAAGTAATTTCCTACCAGAGGCGGAATGCATTTAAATTACTAGAAATACAGAAATAATTTCTCATCGTCCTCCCCTATATTCTCTCTCTCTCCAAATTATATACTTACGTATGAATTTTTCAGGGAAAAAAAAAACACTTCTATAGATACCTATCAATTACACTTTATAATAAGTACAAAACTTCAAAAAAAGGGGGGGAGAGAAAATTTACATGCATCTAAAAACTTTAGGCACCAACACTAAGAAGCGAAGCTGCTCCTGACCATATCATAAAGTACATTCTCTTATGGCCAAAAAGCGATGAAAATGTAAAACGAGCAGTGAGATATTAAGGGGATGTGGACTCCTCGTCTGATGAAGTGTCTTGCCTCTTAACAGGGAATCCACCTGAAACTTGTTGTAGCAATGGATTCACAGGAACTGGAAATTTGTGGGCATGACTGACTATTGTTCGTTCATTTATCATTCCAACTTCCTTGCATACCCGATCAAGAACAGTTAAAAAGTCTCTGACGACCATGAAGATTCGGAAAGGATGAGCCTCTTCCATGGCTGAGTTTCCATGGAAGTATTCGGTAATTTCCTTCACTAGAGACAGAGCAACACTTTCTTGGGCTTGAATCTTTATAATCTCTTCATCGGCTTTTTTCATGAAACTGTTCATAGACTCAGAAAATCTATGGCTGCTACCTTCCTGCAAAGGTATTGCTTCATTTAGTCTTACAATTTCTGCAATGTTCCCAATTCCTTTTGAAAGCTTGGACACATCACTACTAAGCACTTCCGCATCCATGGCAGCAGCTTTCTTTACATTTGAGAGCTCTGAGCTGAGACTTGACACGACTTGAAGGCCAAGCTTCCTGCACTTGGCATCATCGTTTACAGATGACTTGTCGTTGTTGTTCCCAGTAGAAAGACGGGCACCTTCACTTCTTATTATCTCCTGAACAACAAAATGCAGAAGTGTGGTTTTCCCATCGGCTCCTTTGACATCTACAAGTTTGAGTAGTGTGTCTAGCTTAAAGGCATGTGCAGCACCCCGATTTGTTCCAACATTCATGCGATTTCCTGTCTTCAAAACTGCTTCTAGAAGTTTTAAGAACATCCTGTTTGTCCTCAATTCTTCACAAGCTGTCTGTAAAATCAGAAAATTCTTAATGATCATAACCAATAATAAAGTAAGCAATCCAACCACGCATTCAACAAAAAGTAAGCAACAGAAAAGCTTTTATCCTGCGATAACAGCAAAACTCATGTTCTATCTCCATTTTCTTGTCTGTATTAGTGAAGAAGCAAGCCGAATAAGGGGCAAAAACACTCAAAACTAACACAGGGATACGATTTAGATCTTAAGTGAACAAGTATGTAGCTTCATGAAATATCATAAATAATTAGCTAACAGAATAGATTGCTTTAAATCTGCTGGAAACAACAATCATGACAATGGTTTGCTTCAGTCAATTAATCTCAAAGATGTTTCTTCATTAATTCTCCCTGTGATGCAGATTATAATATAACCCACCTTTAGCTATTTCTTTGATACCAAACAATCAAATGAAAACATAATTTCTTTTATAGCAATGAAGCTTCTTCAGCCAGTTACAAAGCACACATGAAGCTGATGAGGGGTATGAAAAGATACCTCCAGAGTTTCAAATGACTTTTTGAGGTATTCAAGCTCCGAATCGAAATTGGATATGTATAGCATTGCGTCTAGTCTTTTGAATGCATGAGGTATATCAAGAACCGCCTTCAAAAATCTCTCGGCAGCCCCAATCTTGCTTGGAGAATCATCTTTGTATTCTTTTAGCTTACGTTCTTCTTCCTTGGTTGGAGCCATCTTCAACAAACTCTCTAGAAGTTCAGTACCAAGAGTATCTGCATTACCTGTGTTCAAGTGCAAATTTTTTTATTTCTAGAAGTACAGTCTACAATAGACATCCTCAGCACAAATAAAAAAGAACCGGTCTAGCATGAGGACTGGACAGTTATTCCAAAGAGTTGCACAGCACCATAAATGTAGAGACTCAAGGGGTTAAGAAGATTTTTGTAAGACGCTTCATGTTAAAGCAGTCAAGTATACTGAATTGGGACGGAACTCGTGTAAAATTTAAGCAAGGTCTGAGTTTTCCCTATATCCATGAGGAGAAGGGTAAGCTACGCATTTTGAAATTTACGACAAAACTTTTTCAGTACTGAAATGTGTGTCCCAAGTCATTATCAAGATCAAGAAACAGACCCATGAGAATAACTGGATCGGCAGACCATAAGATTCAACAGTTTTTCAACATGGCAATCCCGAAATAGAGTGGAAGAGAAAATGGAAAGACAAACAAAAGAAAAATATTCCATTATTAAAATGTCACATTCAAAGGTCTGAATCCACAAAAAATTTATTTCATTGTTTCAGGTGAAGCCAAAAAACTCAATCATCATATTTATGTTTAACCATTAATGACAAACATTGTATATACCTGTGATCAAATAAGCTAAAACCAACCCAATCAACATGTTGTGCCATGGAAAATCATGATAATTGATAAAAGATCAGCTCATAACAAGAAACACTTCACATGATCTATCTTTGAAGAACAGAGATTAGACTAATATTATTGGGATACCTTCTAAAAGGGCTTCACAAACTTCATCTACAGTGACATTGAGTGCCCTCAACAGAATGGCAATATTTTGAGATTTCTTTGGATCAAGTACCCGATTACCATTGTCTTGGTTAGGCGAGGGAAGAACTGGCCGCTTGGCCATTTCCTTCGGATTTGGATTTGGGGTATTCACAACGAACAATGTCTCAATCATCTCCTCATTCAATCTGCAAATAGTTCCAGCACAACACAATTATATCGACAAGATTCAATTGACAAATAAGCAGATAAATTATATACAAAAAGTTGAGAATTATACTTAAATGAGCTGGATTTAAGTTGATCCCACACCATTTCACGATCAGAGCTTGCTCTTACTTTATCCCAATGCAGTGGCTTCAATTTTGGCTTAGGAGTAGTCTCCTCACTTTTCTCCATGGACTCGTTGGAAAATTGCTTCTCATTTGAAACAGTTTCTGAATTACTAGAAGGCAACTCGATTGGAGAAATCAATGGAGGAGTGTCGATACTCATTGGTCTGAAAGGCGTTATGAAAACAGGTGGCCCCAACACCTGCTTTTTAGCAGGCGGAATTGGAGTCCTTGGACTCTCCCAGAGTTTACTGGGTGGGGGTGGTGGAGCCTGTGGTGGAACAGAAACAGGTGCAGGAGGTGGCTTTGGAACAGAGAGATGCACTGCAGCAGCAGGAGGCGGAGGTGGTATAATAGTCACATTTTGCTGGACAGGGCTACTGATTCTTACTGGAGACTGCACATTCTGATCCGAAGCATTTGAAATCCTGGGCGAAGATTCTACACTTCTCCTCGAATATCTCTCCGGCGACGATGAACTCGGCGGCGAAGGCGACGCAGATTCCCTAAGCACCAAGCCACTAGGAGCAGGCTCTGATGCCATTGTCGTTTGCATCAGCGCTGGAGCCATCTGAATCTCGATCAAGTCCGGCGACTTGAGAATCGAATTTCTCGGGCTCAAACTAATCGCCGGAGAAACGCTCAACGACACGGATCTAACCGGAGATGCGGACCCGGAACCAGTTACCGATGAAGAGTAAGTGGACGAAGAATTTGAAGTAGAACCGTTAAAATTCCCCACCTCTACAGCTGCAAAAGCCCTCCTGGAAGCCGATCCAGTACCAATAGAGCTTTCCCTGCCATTTAACGATCCTTTGGGAGAGTAAAACTCCTCATCTTCCTCATCTTTACTAGAAGCCGCCTCCGTGTTTCTGTAATTATGCTGGAAACTATGCGTTTTCAACGGTGGCAACGGGTGTAGCTCCGGCGAGTCCAACTTTCGCGAATTTGAAGCGTTACTATCACTGGTTCTGCTTCCATTGTAAACATTGCGCGAACCAATAACACTTCCACCATGTGAATTAACCAAAGTACCCAGGTAGAGAAACTCTGAACTAGATTGCGATGGCCTCTGGAGCTTCGGGATATGGTTGTTATTCGGGGCGTTATTAAATCGAGCACTGCTGTAATTATCAGATAGTTGGCTTTTCGATTCATTAGAAGATTGATTTCTTCGCCTGCGGAAGTGGAGGAACACAACAATAGCAACAATGGCGACGGCGGCAAGTACGGCGGCGACGGCCGCAACTATGAGCTTAGATGAAGCGGATTTTGACTTTGAAGGCTGTGGAAGATTGAGTGACGAGATATTCGCCGGAAACGAAGCAAAAGAAGCCGGCGATGGCGGCGACGGCGGCGATGGATAGGACGGAAAAAATGGAGTGTTGTTAGGAGTAGTAGCAGTTGAAAAAGGGTATTTAGGGGTGGTGGGGGGTGAGGGCACAGGGGGTTGTGATGGGGGTATGGACTCTTGTGGTTGAAAGGGTTGATGGAGAATGCGGCGGTTGTGGGTGGTGCCAGTGCCGGTGGAGTATATGGGGCGGAGGGCGCAGGATAAGAAGAGGAGGAACAAGAAGAAGGTGGGCATATTTGTTTTTTTTTTTGTATACAGAGAGAGAAAGAGGAGTAAATGTAGCTTAGCTGTGTGTGAAATGAATTGGGTTTGTTTTGGCGACTGTTGTGTTCTCACATTACACCTTTACCCTGTGAAAAATGAGTGATTACAGTGAGAAAGGTAGACAACAGTAGAGAGAGAAAGTGTGTGTGTGTGTGAGAGAGAGAGAGGGAGAGTAATGCTGGAGAAGACTGGTGTTTGCATGAACGGATACAGCTAAGATAGTGACGATATTTGATTCTTAATGACGTGTTTGGCTGCATGGTGAAATCAACATTGGAACGGTCAATTAAAAAAAGGTAAATTAGGATTGGATCCTCATCTTTTACATAGTGTGATTATAAGTCCTTGACTTTTAAAAGTGTGGTTTTAGGCTCCCAATTTGTTTAAAATTATCAACAATGGGTGCAATTTTAACATTATTAACATCTTTTGATATTTTTAAAGCATGTTGCACATGTTCAGTATTGGCTCATGTTCGATGATTACTAGAGTACGAGACATGACGATCATGTGTCGCATCGTGTACACGTTGTGCCCTTTGGACAACAACGTGCAATAACCATTGTCTTGAAACCCGAGTAAAACTGTCCAATTTGATAAGGAAAAAAATAGTCAAAAATTTATTTGTTATACCTTAAACATTATACGTCATGTGAAAAAATCAAAGCACTAGTTAGTTTTACTTTTTATGGTCGTTTATCTATTACGATTTACGAGTTGATAGCTGATCCACTTTCCAAAATATTGGTAATAATACAATAACTACAATGTGATGTTGCTTGTAATGCAATTCGATCCTTTACCAATACGAACTAGTAGTCAATGTATAACTATGATGGCATGATGTTACATTGATCGAATATTAGGCAAAGCACCATAAGAAACAAATTACAAATTTATTTATTATTAGTCTAGTTTTAAAGGGAACTATATTATGTTATTCATAACTTTTATCAATTTTTTAATTATGCATTTTATCTATTTTTATTAAAATTTACTAAGAACTTGTTTGGTAGGGATTAAAATCGAAAAACTAGCCGTTATTGTTGACTTTTATTAGACGAGTTGGACCCAATAACGACTATATTTCAATTTTAATTGGATAAAAATCCTTCTCAAACAAACTTTAAAACTTTTATCAAAAAATTTGTCAAATCGTCGACGCTTTTTAATGATGGACCGATCAGGAGAGAGAAACGAAAGTGGGCGCTTAGGATTCTTTAGAATATACACAATAAGGAAAATTGAACTGTTGGCCCAATTTATTGTTAGAGTGATAAGTTTGTCCTCAATGCATAAAAAGGAGAAAAGTGATCATCACCCTTCTATTATAATTACACTATCAGTGTTCAATGATAGAATTCATCCAAATTATCATGTAACTCTAACGTGTCGAACTTTATGAAGCTATATTTTGTTTCTTAACTTTGGGTAGTGTTCAGAATTTTGAATTTCCGTACGTTTAACTCTAACTTACGTAATAATTTGTAAGAAATTTAGATAATTCTATTGCGGGATATTGAATGTCAAATTATAATAGAACGTTAAAGATCTGAAGACCAACTTTCAAGTTAGATAATCGGTTACAATTTTAAACGATTTGAGTATTTAGGTTATCAATTCGATCACCACCTCATTAAGTTGTAGATCGAACATCTTTTTTTCTTAATAGTGAAAAAAGAGAGTCGAAATTAAGGTTAGCTACCGTTTTTCTTTTTAGACATGGACTATTTTGAAATATTCCTCAAAGAAAGAAATAAGGATCCCTTTTTCCTTATAACCGACAAAAGTTTATAGCAAAATTTGATTTTACTTCCATGTTTGAGCCACATTAAAATTTTCATTTTCATTCTTTTATTCATTTTCAACCACACATTCTTCAATAAAATAATACTTTTCGTCGCATCAATAACTTTTCTTTCTTTTTCAACCACACATTCTCCATCAATTTACTATTCTAAAATAATGTGACTCAAGCACACCCTAAAGATAATTTTTGAATTTGAAAATTTTGCTTTGTCGATTTTGTCCTCGACGGTGAAAGATGCAACCGTCGATAGCGACGGTGAAGGATGACCGTTGCCACTGTCTCCTCTAATATGTAATAATCTAGTACAGCGGCAGTATATGCTCGTTAATAGTATGTGCCTAAATTATATGGTGATTAAATGGTCAAATTATTAATTTTTTTGTCCCCTCTAATGATGTTTCCTCTTTGTTCTTACTTTAAGAGCGACTTGGTAAGAATTAAAATATCAATATTAATCTAAATTATAGTCAACAATAAACTTTAATCACATATTTTGCGAGATTTTTCAACAACACATTTCGTGACAACTTATATAATTGTGGTGGATGGAGAAAGTAAGGTTACCATTGATTAGCTTAGTTGTTATTAGTTGTGTTTTGTTGCTTATCGAGAGAAAAATACCCTAAATCCCGAAATATGTGGAGTGAACCTTGATTGGAAAGGTCACGCTAGGAAGTGTAGTCAATGTGTTGGAAGTATTTATTGATTGAACAAGGTTTTTAAATGTCTTCAAATGTCGAAGTGATGCCCTTGGGAGTATTAAACATAAATTTATGCACGAGCCTATGCAAACAAACCTCGTGAGAGGGTGCAGATAAGAAAATGCCAAACACTTCGCCCTCACGAAAACGAGCAATGACGAAATGATAAGATGAGTTAATTTAAAAGAAGGGTTGAAGCTTTCCGCCTCTCCCATTTTCGGGCGATGCTTATGCGTTGGAGCTTTATGATAGTAGGCATGATCAATAACTATTCAGCGTCGACTCATTGGTAAGTCGAGAACTTCGAACCCAATTATCTTCGTGCCCAATTTCTGATGGCACGTCCCATGCAAGGAGTAACCAACAAAAAAGAGACATGGAAAGCTACATGAAGTGAGATTGGCTTCTATTTGACCTTGCCAAAACTTGCTTCACGTTCAAGACAAATCGATTCATTTTATGACTTGACCTCCGTTGAACTAAAACATAAAATTATAATGTGGACATTATGAATTAACTAAATGTATTCACACCACAATTTTTAATAACTAGACTACATTTTTAATTGTACGAAATGTTCATAACTTTTACATACGATCACATTTATGTCTTAAACTTTTTTCTTGTATTCTTATTTTCAAATTAACATAAATTGTTCTTGAATCCCTGATTATGATTTCTCTCCAAAATTTCTTTAAGATAGAGTAAAAAGACTCATTTGCCAATTGTATTTTTAAATAAGCAAAACAAATAATAATGTAAACATACGATTAAATATTTGACCATCATTTTAAAGCACGTTAATTATTTGTTTGGATGAAGAACCGTGATTAAAGATAAGTTTTTTATCAATGAAATGTCAAAAATAAAAATGTGATGAATAAAAGAAGTTAAAGATATAAGTACGATACTAAATAAAAGTTAATAATATTTAATGCAATTAAGCCCCTGTTTGATGAACATTTTTTTGAATCGATTAAGTTATTTGTACAGTCATTGTCAATATTGATGTTGTCAAAATTCAGGCCGTTAATTTGAAAAATAGATTTTACAAATTTTTAAAATAAATGAATGCGATATTGTCAAGTATAAAGTCGTCAATCAAGGTTGTACAAGTAGCATAATTCATTTTGAATAGTAAATTTTTGGAGGATATGTAGTTAAAAAGTATGAAAACAATTTGAATTTATGTACATAATATTTTATTGTGTGAATGTATGATTAAAAACGTAGAAATAAATTGAAAGAATCGAAGGCCAGCAAAGGTTAAAATATATTATATTTATAAAAAATAATTAAATAAATGAAATGGGTGGGAATATAACCTCCCACATTAAATTTAGGAGTGACCAGTGGTTAGCACCGACACATCCAGACGAATTTTAATTATTAAATTGCTACACTTTCCACGCCAAGTATCAATTAATTAATTAATTATTGTATTTTTGTAATGTATAAAAAAATAATTGGGCAAATAACGATTGACAACCATTGAAGTGTGTGAGATGTACCACGTATTTATGTTCCTGACTAACTCCTTTTGGAAACTGGTCCATTCGCAGAGGTTTCCAAACAGCCTTTCTCCTGTCTTTTCTGTGCTCTCCGACTCTGTCTTCTTCTATGGAATTATTGTTTATTAATCGTGTCTCAATTATCTATATTATTATAGTAATCTTCTTATATTTGTTTTTGGGAAAATTACGGTCGCGGTACCAAACATTTCGATTTTAAGCAAAATTTGCATAACTTTCATTTTATTGCAACCAAATCTTTCAAAAACTCAACACCTAAAATCCAAATGGATATTTATGTTAGTTTAACCATTAGTTGACTCAAGCAAATGATTTCAACCAATTTTAAAAGAGCAAAATGGTAACTTTGAATTAAAAAAATAAATAAACAAAGATGAAAAAGCCACTTTCAATCCCACCAAAAAATAAAAAATAAAAAAAATTATTGTTCACCATCTCCTCCACACCCCATCTCAAATTAACCCCACGACCACCATAGTCATCGCCATCGCGCCACCTACAGCCTCCACCACAAAGCGCGCCATCTTATCCTGAATTTCATCATCCCAAATCACAAACCATTATCAAATCCATCAAGAAATCATTTTCTTCCTATCAAGAATTTTCGAGTCAATGTGATCTACAGTGGTGGAAACCCATCTTACAGCCACTCCCACCCTCTCAGACCACCATCAGTCGACTCCTACACCAAAAGCACTCAATATGATGATGATTCAACAAAATAGGTCAATGATTTTTTTGGAATTTCATGTCTAAACACGTGCGAACATGATAGCCAATCCAATTTATGGTTTTCCCATTGTTCAATCCACAAATTCACTATCGAGAACTCATATCCATACTCAAACGACTGTAGGTACACAATTAATTGATTCAACTGTCGCTCAATGGCCTCGTAATTCGATCCTCAAAGTAGTGACTAGGATGGTTCGATCAATTGTAATTGATGGCCAAAATGTTGTTCATCCATCCAATGTGATCCACTGGTATCCCATGTGGACCTCCCCTGGCTTTTTTTATTTTAATTTAAAGTTATCATTTTGCCCATTTAAAATTGGTCAAAATCAATTTCTTAAATCAATTAACGATCAAATTAACAGAAATCATTCATTTGGACTACAGGTATGAGGTTTTTGAAAGGTTTAGTACCGTGAATGCAACAAAATGAAAGTTTAGGCAAAGTCTATTGAAAATCGAAATATTTGGTACGGTGGCTACAATTTTTTCTTGTTTTAATCGTATTTTAGGTCTGTTAAACATAACCCTCAATAGTGTAAAATTCTTTCTAACAATTTAATCTTCGAAGACGAAACATCAAATCTTAATATGTTATCAAAGTTCATTTAGTTCCAACGAACAATTCGATTAAAACTCAAATAAGTACCACATCTTATGTGAACATGTTAGAAAATAAATCATAATGGCGACCTTGTCACGGATTTTTCCCTTGCTCTAAAACATAAGGCGGCCCTGACTTCAAAGTCGCACCAATGCAATGCCAAGCTTGTCAAGTGCCAGGTTGGCTTGACTTTACTTTCACGGCACCATCCGATACATATTAAATCACCTCATATAAAAATTAATGACACAATAAAATAGAAAACCAATTTCAAAAATATCATTTTTCTTTGAAATAATTTTATCTAATATCAGTGGTGTTGAATAACGTTACTCTTTTCCTTTTGCATTGGTGGACGTAATGGCTCTTTGTGGCCGACAATTATGTTATTAGTAACAATAAAACAAGATTAGTGCACATTACCTATATTAATTATAATCGAATTCAAATTATTATAGAATTTGAGTCTTTGTTGGAGGATTACTAGAGATAATTAAACTATGATTATGCACCAAGCATCATCATTATGGAGGGCATCTATAGTAATTAAGAAAGACAGTGGGACAAGGTTTTTGAACGAAGTAATTACGAAAGTCATTAGTGCATGGGTTTCGTTTTTACTTTTTACCATGCAAATTTGTCCTAACAATCAATTAAATTGAAAAACGCAATTACGTTGTTCAAGATACATTAATTCACTCCCTTTATAGCGATTCAAAATAATTTGTAGTGTGTACAAATATTTGGAGAGGGACAATAATATGACTTTTAAAAAATATATAATAGCCTTTTTCATTACTTTTGATTACATTCATAAAGTTTTTGAATTGATTTGATGGAAAAGAAAAATAATTATTGAATTATTTTTATTTTTGTCCCACTTTCCTCCACGATCATAATTGGAGGACTATATATTGAATGACTTTACCTATATTTTTGGTCAACGGAATGTTGACATCAATTTTTGGCAAAAGTGAAAAGTCTAGTTTGATTTACAACCCTTTTTTTCTTGAGAATGCTAAACAAAACTTGAGAAAAGGGATTACAAATTCTCTTTTAAACACTCTGATACTTAAATCAATACATTTATATTTAATGCCCATTTGATTCTCATTATTGTAGAATGAAAATAAAAAATATAATCATTATTGAACCCTCCACAAAAGATACAAATTCAAAATTGATGGCTTGATGCGATGAATAATGATCATATTTTTCATTTTTATAAATGAAAAATGAGAAACAAACGAAAGCTTATTCACTTTTGTCTTGTCGTTGATGGAACTTTTGATTGGATATTTGATGCCTTTTGAAAGGATGAACCAAGTAAAACGGGAAAAAGGGCTTGGAGAGAGTAAAGCAAAAGGTAAAGGGAGTAAAGGAGGAAAGACTAGGAATCTATGCCCATAAAAAGATGAACCTTTTACCCACCCAAATACTCAAAAGCCACAATTTTATACCGTTAATGCAAATCTGCTTACTCGAAAGAGGAAAGATCAAAATGAATAGATAATACTTGTAGACCACGTCAAATGTGTGAAAAGAAAAGAAAAAAAGTAATTTGATCGATTATAAACACTACATAAACATTAGCCAAACATGGGGCAACAAGCATTGTTTGATACATTGACCCGAGTGGATTAAGAATAATACACGACTGGATAAAGAACAGTTAAGCCTCTATTAAACGTGACTTAATACAATAGAAGATGAAGATGTGGTGACTATAAATGCTAAAAACACACACAAGATTCAAGCTCGAACAAAATGCAAGTGGCAGCAGCAACTTAATACATTCCTCTCAAACTATAAAAGATGACAAAACTTTATCAAGATTTAAAATGCAAGTAGAATGCCAACACTGGACTTCATCAAGACCTCACATTACAGACAAATGATACTCAAATTCATTCCTTTCTCGTATTGATTTGATGTCGAAAGACTACTAGATTACATTTATTCCTACAATAAAATTGAGAAAGTCATTTCTGCACCTGATCAATCATACATTCTTATAATACACGATCATTTCCTTCAAACGAGGATCCAGGGTAGAGGGGGGAAAACAATTCAAGGAACAAATTAAAATTACAAATTCCATGTTGCAAGCTAACTAGGCTAGTTGTAAGACTTCAAACTAGATTTCTGAAAGGGGAAAAATAATGAAAATTAATTAAGTGACGAGATATCCAATGCATAACTGAAAACCGGCAAAAGAGATTAAAACTTTCAATGTTACTTCCAAAATATGAGAGTCCTTGTTACGATACAATGAACTTCATATTGAGCAATTGTACCTTTGATTAAATTTTACTCAGCAAGTGAATTGCAAGTGAATTCAGCTTCTTGGCAAACTTTAAGAAGTTCATCGAAAATTCTGCATGAAAGAAAATGCAAACATGGGACATAACCACTGGCTTGCAAGGTGACCGACTCTTTAACTTTTAATATCACCAAATAGTAAGGGACGGAGGAAACAAAGAAGCTTGCAAAGTTCTGGCATTAACTACTGGCAAATACCAGGCAGGTAACTTCAAAAAGTAAAACTATAAAGCATACAAACAGAGCTGGACTTTACTTAGGCAATGCCGAGTAGCAGCACTTCAACCACTGAAATAGCAGCTAATTATTACATTCTCAGTTTTACCAGTAAGTCGGTGTACCTTCAAAATATTGATATACCTCCACAACTTCACTTAAAATATACATAAGATTACTGGAACTAGCCCGCGAGATTTCCAGATATGTTGTTCATGATGAAAGATCACAGAAATTGGAAACAGACAGTGAAAGAATCACAAAAAATGGAGAGGTTAGATATTAATGAGACATGATTTGTACCCACAAGTCTGAAAATAGGAATTTAAAAAAAAATAAAAGGGTGCAAATGAGAACTCAAGGAGGACCAAATCATATATAAATATATCAAAATGGGTGCTACATCGAATTTTAACAAATAAATGTAACCGCCACAAAGCTTCCTATGGTTTCCGTCAAAAAATCAAGAAACAAATGGAGGAAAACAAATAAAACTCAGAAATGAATGGTAGAAATTGTTCAAGGAAACACGTAATCATGCACAAAAAGTAAAGAAGATTGTAGTAGGTGCTCAAAATAAACCATCTCTTAAAATGCTCTAAGATTAGGCAATAAATGAAAACAAAAGCACGTCTTATTGAAAGGATAATACCTATTTAAGAGGACCACCAAGCAAGAGGAGACAATGTATTGTATCACATATAAAAGAAAGATAAAGAAGTGAAAGGTAAAAAAGAGAAATACTGCATATAAAAATATGACACAGAACCGAGGGAAAACAGAGAATTGCCTTGTACTTCTCTTCAACTTCTTCAAATACCATCTAAAGTACAAGGAAAATAACAGATTCAAATACATCATCAAAAATTGTTCATGACAACACCACATAATCGAGCTTTCAACTCTTGAACTCAACACTCCTGTGATCATTCTCTACATAGAACTACACTAAATCAACATTGAACTGTTTTGTGTGTTTTCTTTATGTTTAACATGTGTATTGTAACTTTGGCAGAAGTGAGGGAACAGCTGGTGTTGAGAAATGTGGCCTATAATCCTCGTCGGATCAAGTAGGGGGAGGCAGTTTAAGTAGAGCACCATGGCTCATGGCGCAGCTTCACCTTGAGGAGGAAGTTTTAGAAAGGTCAAGTTGCACTTCTGGAAAGATACCAGGTGCCAATCCACCAGCACCGACGCAACCTTAGTTGCAGAGTCTCCTGCCACGTCGCTATTTGGTATGGCCCAAATGGACATGACTTCTATGATGCTCGGACCCAGATACGGGTACGTATTTAAGTGTCGGATATTTTATTTTCTAAAAGATAGGATATGGGGACAGGAATAAAAAGAGTTCAAATTTCGGATACGGGTACATGTGTACGGCTTTCAAACTTCCCCAAGATAATCAATTGTTCACAAAGAAGGAAATGAGTATTGAATAAAATAGAAATTTTGGGTATAGTTTTCAACTATGAGAAGTTAATTACTANTTTTTATGTTTTGAATTTGATTGCCTTTTTATTCCAAATTTATTTATTTTCTCATTTATTTATTTTAGTGACATAATATGTCATAAAAATATTTTACCGACTCGACTATTTATAATAAATCGGATCGGATTGTTATCGGATCGGATTGACCTATATCCATATTTGATCCATTTAGTTAACGGATTATCGGATTCGGATCTTGATCGGATTATCGGACTGAGACCCTAAATCCATCTCCCATTTATTTCGTCGGATTCGGATCGGATTCGGATCAAAATCCAATCCATTGACAGCCCTACCCGTGTCGTGTCGACATGAGCACTTCGTCCATTTCGAAAAGTCTGAGAATCACTGGAAAAGAAATGAAGTCTATTTCAAACGGTTTTGGTTTCAAGTATCAACCAAAACTCCTCGTGGAAAGGAAATCACAGTAAAAGATTGCAAAATGCACAAACTCAACATGGTTTCCGAAAATCTTTGGTTCTCCTTGTTCCTTAGCCTGAATAAGCCCACACACCATGTTTGATGCACAAAACTAGACAAGAATGGAAAGGCAAAACTCTAGCTTCTATTTCTTAATATTGTCCAATCCACTTTTGAGTGTAAAGTCGAGGCAAAGAGACTGAGGAGATGTGGTGCATTCTTCCAGGGTTTGTGGCACGAAAGATTTCTTGGGAAATTTTATAGGACTTGAAATGTCTTCATTTGGAAAATAACGAAGGGCCAAATTAGGGTATTGATAAATGCAGTTTGACAACGAATTACTATTACTGAAAGATCATTCAGTCCAAGCTGGAGAATTAAGAGAACGTGCCAACGGGTGAGAAAGTGTCGGATAGTTCATTACTCATTACCCCCCCC